CCGAACACGAGCTGCTTAACGAGCCGAACACGAGCTGTTCACGAACAACGAGCCAAATTGACAGCCCTACCTATAATCATTAGGTTCACAACAGCTATTGGACAATGATGCTTTTTAATTTGATTATACTTTGTTATATCCATTTTTTTCCTTTTAGCTAAAGAAGACTATATTTAGAAAATGTACCTTTGAGATTGCTTTTTGCTGATGATATCCTTCTTGCGGACAAGAATAAAAGAGTCAAGGAAAAACTTGAGATATGAAGGTCTACATTGGATTCTAAGTGCCTTCGTTTGGGTATATCTAAAACTGAATGCATGAAATGTAATTTTAGTAGTAGTAGCTAGTAGTAGTAGCGTAGTAGTAGCTTTAGTGGCAAAGTTGTAACTATGGGTAATCAAATCAATAAAAGGTATGAACATTTTAGATATCTCGAGTATATTGTTCAAAGTGATAATGATATAGATAGAAATGTTATTAATAGAATTTAGGTTGGTTGATTGAAGTGAAGGAATGCAACAAGCCTATTGTGTGAGAGAAAAGTACAACTAATACTTAAATAAAAATATTATAAGATGGTCGTGAGACCTGCAATGCTTTATGGCGCAGAATGTTGAACATTAAAAGAGAAGAAAAAAATAAAGTTTAGCGTTGCTGAGTTGAAAATGCATCGTTGATGATTGACTTGACAATTAGAGACAAAATGTGAAACAAATCTATTTGAAATTAGAGTTGAAGATGACAGATTTGGATGATCAAATTCCATTAAAAGTTTAAGATTAGTATTTATTAGCCAAAAGATCATCATGCAGCTTAAGGTGATCTAATGGTTTCATTTGAGGAATAATTACCTTGTCCCATTGCCATTACACAAAAAACCAAGAAAGAAAAAGATTTGGTGGTCTCAATTTAAGGGCCTGAACCAATCCAAAACTATTAATTTCTAAGGGCATGTAAAGATTAATAAATACAGCTCATCTACTAAAAACTCACAAGAGTCTAAAATTTCTTATGATTTTATTTAATATATTTATTAGAGAGTAGCCATGTTAATGATCATTACATTATATCCTTGACAGCAACTAATGGATTGAGGGTCCTAGGCCCTTTTTTTTTTTGGTATAACTACAAAAGGTACCACTTGCCCTCCTATTTATGTTTAGTTTCATATTACCAACCATGAATACTTATGTTGCTTAATAATTTCATAATTAATTTTCTGAAAAAAGAATTATATTATTAATATAATTGATGGCAATTTTATATATTGTACTTGCATCATCTTCAAGAATCTATAATTTAGTGTACTTATTGGAGTAAACTAGTAATAAAACTTAAAAAAAAAAGATAGAACTTTATTTTATATCTTTTCATTAAAATCTCAATCAAGAAAGAATCATTTTTCATTTCTAGCCACTCAAAAAACCCCAATCCTCAAGAAAAAAAAAGTAATTCCTTTTTTCTTTCATCTTTTTTACTATTTTCTCATAAATCTCTGTTTTCTACCATCAACTAGCATAATATCTAATCAAAAATTTTATTTCATTTCCTATTACAAAACCAACATATCACCAAATGTCCACCCAACGAAGCTCCTGGAGATCTTGACTTAATCATCACCTTCGTGTATTAAACATTGATTCAAACGAGATAAAAGGATGAGGCCCACAATCATTTGGTCATAAGCCCTTTCAAACCATGGCTGCTAATCTGCATGACTGAGAGGGCATGGCATGTTCATGCAATTTCCTGCCCATTGATTCTTGGTCACTCAACCTTATGTCCATAATACCAGCTTGCTTGCATGCCCATTGAGCAATTTTCATACAGGAACAAGAATCAATCATCGATGTCCAGCCAAGCTACTACCATAAATGTAAGGAAAACTAAAAGGAAAGTGTGAGTTGGGTAAAGAAAATAGGAGTAAATAGATTTGAATAGCAATGTAACAAAGATAATTACAATAGCTTCTGATCTAATGAGATCTAATAGTCCTAGGTTACAAGAAGATTAGGAACACTTCAATACAAAGTTAAGAAGCATTTTTCGATCCCACAATGAGAGGGAAAAAAAAGGAGTTGCTTGCAAATTTCATTAAAAAAGATGGGAAAATTTACTTACATACTACACAATTCTTAAGCATTCATCTAACAACTAAATTATCATATTTACATACATATCACACAAATCTTTAATATCACAACAAAAAAATCACCATACTGCCTTTTTAGAAGTGAAGTACACCTTTTCATGCATAGGTTGACACCAGTGCTATATATGTAAATATCAAAGGAATTTTGTAGTATTTATGCAAATATCCCGAAATGTTAAGAGGTGCAAACCTGTCTCAAACGCAAAAGTTGCAAAATCTTCTTAGTCTTTGGGTCAATAGCATTAATACTGCGCAGCATAAATTAGAGGGATGAGCTCTCAAACACGAAGTCTGTTAAGAAACTCAATCGCAAAAAATGATTCATGCAAAAAAGAAAATAAAAGAAAAAAAATGCAAAAACTGGAACACAATGCTAATTAGCCAAATAAGAGGCTCTTTCCATCATCTGCATAGCAAATTAATTTTTGAACAAGACGTACCCGCGGATTCTGATGATGAAAAGAAGCTTGGCCTCGGGACACACATAGAACCCTCCTTTCATCCTTGCCTCGCGCTTTAGCTGAATTAGCTCCTTTTCCTATTTAAGAATTGCTATGCATTTCCTAAGACACTGCAGAAAAATAAACATAAAAACTAAAATGTATAGTCATGATCTTTCTCAAACCTGATTCGCGTACTCCTTCGCATATTGTTCCGCCCTCTTGAAGATAAGCTTGCGGTTCTCGCGATTCTTCTTCCGCTTCTCTTCGAGCTTTCCCTTTTTCTCAAGAGCCCACTGTTCTTCCCTCTTTCGCTTCTTCAGAACAGATTCAGGAATCAAATCCTTCGCCTCCGCGTCGGCCATTTGCCACTTCGAAATAGGAAAACGGAGCAAATCAGTAATTCTTCTAAAAAAAATAAGAAAAAGGTAATCTAATACTAGGAAGAAGGAAGAAGATCAAGACAGGAAAAGGCCGAGAAAGCTAGGGTTGCGTTCGACGCTTACCTTGCTGACTAACTTTGGATCGCCGGCAGAGAAACAGGTTGCTGCAGCGGCGGGGGGGTTTCGAGGGGTTTGAGACAACTATCCACCGTAGGGTTTATATATATATTCCGATACTCTTTGAACTTACAATCTTGCACTGAAAAACTATCTCTTCAACCACTATATCAAAATAAAAAATATGCATGAAAATAAATATATATTCATAATTTTATTTTGAACCTATATATCAAATATATGTCTGTAGTAATCTCGAGAAAATCAAGTGGATAAAAGTACAAAGGATTACTGCTAAGGAAGACCCACATGTGAAAGACCAATGACTCACAAGCAGAATACCAAATGCCAATTTGCAGAAGACTAAGGGGCGACATCAGAAAGCAAAGCATGGACTAGCAAAATATTGAAAGACATCCATGACCAGGTTTAACCTCGCTTAGCCGGGGTTGAATGTTAACCAAGCTCCATCTGAGCCAAAAAATAAACCCTATTAAGCGTAGTCGAGCCATTGATCTACCTCTCACCATAACCTAATATAAGGGAACAATACAACATCCAACAGCTCAGCTAACTCATAGAAGCCCCTGAGAATCCTCATTTGGGACCAAGAACTAATCATCATACAATTACATGGAACATCACTGAATGGTCGTCACGTCAAGGCGTATGCTACATGTTGGATTACAGTGATTCACCTCTTGCCCGATAACTTAGCCTTGCTCTGACGATAGTAGTTTTCTATCCAGAGATTAGTAGTTCATAACCATACTAGTAAATCCAGGCGACAGAACCAAGCCAACCAAATCGAGTCTCACGACCTGAAGTTCATTAAGGCCAACTTATAACCCCAATTCAACAAGGTGAATGAGTAGGTCTTGTCGAACTAGAACCATTAAACTCTAGCCCACCGAGTTATAGGGTGGTTGAACTGAAAGTCTAGATATGTAAAATATCTAAATATCATATAACGCACCCAATAAAGTTGTGGCATATGTGTAACTTCATATATTCTATCCCCTCCTTTATAAAATAGGAGAATCATTTTCTTAGAAAAGACAAATCAACAATTTAAATTATTGTTCATTACTATGCACTTCTCTTTCTCTCCCTCCCTCTCTCTTATTTGACTTACACTATATTTCCTTTGTACGATTCATGGATAAATCAATATCCAAATTCCTTTAAAGTGGGGTGAGTGTAGATCACTTCCACAATAAGAAGAGTAACATAAGGAGAAGAAGTCCACAACAGAGATATCACCAACATGGAATGCGCTAAGGAGTTTATGCAACAACAAATTCAGAAGAAGAAGGATGAAATGATGAGCGCCTAAAGCAGGCATTGGCTTGGGGAAGGGAGCAAACCACATACAAGAAGCATCGATGTTCAACAAACCAAAAGGTACCTTTGCTTGAAGAAAGGGTCGGAGATTCCTAGCACTTGGATATTGTTGGGTTGGCATCTATAAACAAACAATGATTTTAGCAAACGGAGGCACCTCTCAAGCTTTAGAACACATTCTATCAATAAATTTCTAAATATGAGCCTCAAAAAGTTTAAAATTTTTGCTCTAAAGTTATACAAGGGTCGAACTGATTCAGCTGACCACATAGGCTCCTTTGAATCGATCGTCTGTTTGTTGAAGATTATAGTTGCATTGAAGTGTTTCATGTTCTTCACCATGCTGAGCGAGCCGACCCTCGAGTGGTTCAACGAATTATCACCTGAAGCGATCACTTTATTTGCTTATTTTAAGAGAATATTTGTGACATAGTTATCCAGCTCCCATAAGCCCAAAAAGAGTTTACAAGCCTTATTCTAAATAAGATTGGGGTATAAATAGATCCTCCACTCATTTTTCACTCAATTTTAGAAGGAGGTGTTGGAGGTACGGGATCTAAAACTTGTAGTTGCACACACTACCCTACCCTAATAGCTGAAGGAAGGGTCATTTTAGCAAGCTTTGGCTTTGCAGCGATCAGAAACCCTTACTGAGTAGTTGGAGCTAGCCATCTGCTCACTTGCACTATAAAGACAATCGACCACCTTAAGACAATAGGGAGATTGACATAAGTTACAACTAATGAGGTTAGGCCCAATATCCTAGCCAGCGACCGACTCGATACAATGAGTGACTGCTACCCCATAATGATACGCCAAAGAGAACCTTATTGAGGGTATCCATGGTCGAGATAGTTGAGTCCATTCAAAATAAGGATTGTTTCAAGAGAGCTCCCCCAATGATGACCATAGCATTCCACTTGGATACAAAAAAAAGTATTGTACATACCATCGAGACTAGTAAGACCACCCTTGAAATTCTTGCAATCGATAAAGAGCATGGTAAACTTTTTTGGTAAGTGAAGCTTTTTGATGTATGGATGAAAGATACACTAATCTAGAGTTTTGTGAGCACAAAGATGATTTTTTTCTGGCCAGCTACATAAATGTCAGGGATACTAGTAGACATAGCATGCTACAACCTCACCTTCACTCCTAGTGAGTGACGAATGAAACAAAAGATGAGAACTTATGCTATTACTTGTTGACCTCATTTTTTATGAGGTTTAATTTCTCCTCTTTAGAAGCCTAGGATCTAGCCATGAGACTTTTCTATTGATTTTCTTAGAGGACTAGTAATGGAACCCTCCCACATAGAAATTATAAACACTTATTGACTCTTCTTGTGAAGTCTCACATGGGTGGTGCTAAGCCCTCATTCATCACTTGGGATGGCGAGGACTAACATGAGAAGGCCCAATAGTGAGTTCCAATAGAATCAGTGAGACCTTAGGGCAAACCTGGGTGACTTGTCTTGGTCACAACCTACACACACACTTAAACCCAAAAATCATTTATACCTAGCCTATCTCCCAGTTCTTTTTGAGAACTCATATGGGTGGCCCCAAGCCCTTAGTCTTTGGCTAGGGTGGCTAGGACCAACATGCGAAGGATCCAAAATGAGCTTCCCCATGGGTCTTATGATTTTAGGGGAGGATTATACACAAATTGAATGGCCATCAATCCCAATCTCATTAAGACATCCCACTTTAGCCTCCTACCCCACTTTTCCCCAAATTTACCAAAATGCCCCTAAAAGCCTAAAATCTCCAAAATCAACCAAACCCCAAATTCTTCACCAAAAGTCATATTGAACTACTTTAAATTACCCCAATTACCCAAATACCTCCAAAAATTCTCAGAATCATCAAAATACCCCTACACCACCTAAAATTGCTAAAATACCCCTAATGCCCTAACATTTGCCAAATTCTCAAAATCATTCCAAACTTCATCAAAACCAATTCTAGTCACCTAAATCTCTCAATTGCACCCAAAATCCACCAAAATTGGCCAAAATTCCCAAAATACCTTTAAATCCCTAAAGTCCTCAAATCACTCTCAATTTCCACCAATTTCATTCTAAACACACTCAATTTCAAATCTAAATTAAATATCATCATAGCCAAATCCAATTTGAATCAAATACAAGCCTAATCCCATCTAATTTCAAACCTAAATCTAAGCCTAAGCCAACTACCCCAAAATTGAACCCAATTCTAAATTCCATCAAATTGAGCCATGATCATTCCAATTCCACAAAAAATAATTCCCAAATTCCTCATGACATTCTTCTAAGCCAAATGGGACCATCAATTGGTCTAAATCCAAGCCCAAACCCTATTTTAATCCTAAAACCAAACTTTTCCCTGTTCTTTTAATTTAATTAAATCTTAATCACCTCAGCCTCATCCTAAGCATGTGAGTTAGCCACATCAATTCTAGTCAAGACTTGTTTTGAGCCATGGACCAAAGGTCCCTTGATTTATAGAAACTCCTCCCCTAAATTTGTTTAACTCTCTAACCAATGCAACTAGCCTTCCTAAGCCCCAAATTAATTACAATTAAACCTCCCAGACCTCCCCAAGCTAGTTAGCTACCCCACCTGGCTTGACCGACTCCCCTAGTGGCCGAAAAACCCAAAACCAAGAGAGGCCCCTGTGGCTTAAACCCCAAATTCGACCCATCCCTTGTGGCTCTTTCTCCTTGGTCAATTGCGTCGCTCAGCCCTCCACCTCAACTTATTTGCGCCAGCCGATGACAACCTGAGGCCTCCCCTTTAGCCTCAATTATAAATGGCCCCCACCACGATCAAAATTGGGGATGATTCAAAATCTAGGGGAAACTCTGCCCAATTGCTCCCTGAGCCTCTCTCGGCCTTCCTAAGTGCAATCCCACCATTTCCACTACCCGGGCTCAATTTCATCACCCAAATCCAGGTCATTTCACGACATAACACCAAGTCCACCAAAACTCTAAATTAAATTGCTCTTAAGCTTCACCAGAGCTTAAGAACACTTCCTCAATTAAAAGCCCCTCTCCTGAGCACTCTAACCTCGTCTTTGACCAAGCTCAAGTCACCTTCTGATCGAAATCATACATAGGCCACACCTCAACTCAAACCAACACTTCGAAGAGCTTTGTGGATTAAAGACGATCATCTCTAACAAAGCCAATCGAGGCCTCGTCTCTTGGGCATAACTATAACCCAAAATCCCTAAATTTTACTTTAGTTTGGACCTTTGTGAAGAGAACTTGTATTTCATAAGTACTTAACCGTATAAATAGGTTTATCTCACTTAGATGAAGATATGGGAACAAATCCCATGTGATTTGATTGAGAATTGAGTGAGATATTAGGTCAAAAACACAGACGATTCTTGTGTTAGGATGATCGGGAATGATGAATGGATGTAGTACATTTTAGTGTGTATTGAATGGACGACCGAGATGGAGCCAAACGGTGTGATATTGTACGAACAGCTGATATAGTCAGCAGGGCACGTGGAAAGCGCCACCAATCAGTGGACGACACGTAGCGCTTCAGAGATGTTAAGGATGACGCGACGCCGACTCAGATAAGTAGATAAATAGGGTATTTTAGAATTAAATAAATACAAAAACTTAAAAATTTATTTTGTGGTGTAGAAAAATTATAAAAATAAAATTAAAATATCCATGTGCTCAATGAAGGGAGGAAAAAACTGAACAAAAAAATGAAAATATTTTCCTTATATTTATTTTTAAATTTA